TATCTAAATAACCAACTAACCCTAACTAAATCAAAAAGGTAACTTTAAATACATCAAAAACGTAACTTTTTTCAACCCGGCTTTAAGGACCCCCCTTTTTTGAGTAAAAATATGTAAATCCCGTTATACGTATACGTAATCCTTATTTTCAAATACTATCGCTATTAACTAAAATTCAGTTTAAGGAATGTTACGTAAAGATGATTACGTTAAATAAAATAAATTAAATTATCATATTGCATACAGTTTGACTTTTCGGATAAATAGTTAATAATAAGTGCCATTTGTTTTTAATTCATCCACATTCTCTGCCTACCCATTCCAGAAAACAATTTACGTCAGTATCCGTTTTCTCCAGGTCCAATTCCAAGAATTTCCTTGCAACTTGTTCACATGTAGCGTACAAACGACGTTCACGATCGTCGACGAAAGGTGGTGGAATAGATTCATATCGGGAAAAAAGATGAGATAAATGAATTGCTTCATTGAGAATTTGTTGTAAAATGAAACAATAAATTAATAGTAGATTATTTCTTATTGAATATAAATAATAAATGCATAAAATAATTATCTACATATATTCACCTCTTTTAACAATATGAGGTGAAACACCAGCCAGTGTAGCACAAAATGTACCCCAAGACGAAGTACTTCGACCGGGTATCAGACTGAAATAAACTTATGTAAATTATTATGACAAATCATAGAACTGATTTTTTTTATATAAAGACTATTCACCGGTATAAAAAAGTCAATTCCTCGTCCTCGTCATCGTTCATAATTTCCATAGTAGTCAATGAAATCGGGAGAGATTGGGACAGGAGGTTATTCTCAAAAATTTCTAAAAATTACGAGAAAATTACATGTAATGCAAAAATTCAACATTTCAATACATTTTAGTGTTCTTGGATAGTTGTAAATACTGTATACTATATCGATGTATTTAAATGATAAAAAACCATGAAAGTGTGTTGCTGCAATGACTTTTGGACAATCTCTACCGCGCTTTAATAGATGCTCCATGACACCACAAAATAAACCAGCACCGTCTGTTTAATTTTTAGTCATTAATCCAGGTAATATGTCACATGCGGTTATGTAGTATTATGTTGACCTGCCTGTAGAGCCAGTTCCTTTTCCGAATTCGTCAAAGATCAATAAAGATCTTGATGTCGAATTACGAAGTGCAATCGATATTTGCTGAAGGTCAATCATGAATGCACTTTGAATCTTTTAAAATATTATCACATATTACAGGAACGTTATTTTATTAAATGAATGATGCTTTTTATTTACTTATTTTATTTTATTTTATTTTTTTTACCTTCGAAACTGTTTCTTTAGTTTGTATACGAGTGAAAATCTTATCAGTTAAGCCAATAGTGGCCGATTCTGCGGGTACAAAGCTTGTAAAAGAACAACTCATTTTAATATATTATAGCCTTAAAGAAAATCAAAATATATTATATACCTTCCAATATGTGTCATATAGGTAATCAACGCGACTTGCTTCAAATATACACTTTTGCCTGAATAATTAGCGCCGCTTAATAACATGACACTGTTATATGTGTCATTTTCACTAGTAAGGCTATCTTCATACATTTTGTCGTCTTCGTCCAATACACCTCTGCCACCGACAAGTTTTGTATCATTAGCGACAAAAACATTAACGCAAAGCTCTTGTAATGGATGTCTTACATTTTCCAATTTTATAAAGTTATCAATTTGGAACTTTAGGAAAGCTATGCATAACATTTAAAAATCCGTTCTTTACCTTCCTTTTTCAATTATTAAAATGTTTTCATCGGTTACAATAGGTCGATTATACCCATAACGCCTTGCTGACTCCGCAAAAGACAAAAGGCTTTTTTTTGTTTTGATAATTTTTTCAAAAAGAAAGTATCAAAAAGCATAAGTTTGTAAAACATCAAATGTGTGCCCGTATAAATTAACACTTGTTACCAATCAAGTTCAGCGCAAACAGCACTAGAGCTTAGAAATAATGGAACATATTCTAGTACACGATCTTGGAGTTTTTGCATTATTTCAATTTCACGATCTGTGAAAGAATAAATAAGAATTTTCACATAGAATTTTGTTGAAAATTCTGGAAAAAAATTATTCATACCAACAATTAGACCGTGTATATCGCCTAGATATTCGTCAAGTTCTATTATAATTATCAAAGGTCACACGTTAGCAATTATTTTCACGTACAAAACATAGCAGACATGACATCAGGTTAGATATATAATACCCCTCATTCTATCATTTTTGTAATAAACGGTAGTAGCAGTACTGAACTAAACACATACATTTAAAAGAATATCAGAAAGGATTTCATATCAATCATTACCAATACACGTTAATCTGGTTATATCGACATTTTTGGAGCATTAGTAAAAAAATACAAAATGTCGATGTAGTGAGTTATACCGACATTTTTTTCCAAAAAATGTCGGTATAGAAAGATTTTACTATGGTGTCATTATATCTAGATGCCGGTATAACCAGAGTGACGTGTAATAAAATTTACATCTTACTTGATAATACAATCCGTCAATTTTAAAATCCTCTTCATCTCTCCATTCTGGTTTTAACGGGACAGTGACAAGGTATCCCAATTGAGGAAAATAAATTACGTTCAAAGTAGAAGCGAATTCTGTAGGAATTGATGTGCTAATTTCACGTGCAACTTCGAACTAGGAAGATCGATTACGAAGAACATTTAGCGGTATAAGAGTGTGAACTCAAACTATTGCAATATTTACCAAAAAGTCGTCCAAACCGTCATATGTTCTTTTCATATGATCAAGTTCCTTTTAATTATGCAATTTGCAATTAATAAACGCGTTCATTGTTAAATATAATATCAAGTCACAAACTTTAAATAACCTCGTCAACATGCGGTTTAACAACAATTCGACTTTCTTTGACGCTTTCGTCAAAATCAATCTTTGAAGATAAATTGAACGAGACAGCCAAAATTATAAATTTTATGTTAACATATATATATATAAGGCCAAATTAACATCAACCTCACCACATCATTAATATAAGAACCGATATCCTTTAAATCGGATATTATGAATGTTTCTCTTATCTATTTACATGGAGTCTTATTCTTATTAATGGCAATACGTTTAACAAAAATAAAATTCATATAACACGGACCCTAATAAATATTTGAACGTTCTCCGATTGATGCAATTCTTGCACAAGGTTACACATTTTAAGACAGTAAAAAGCATACTATAAAATATTACGTTACTAAATGTTGAAAACATTTCACAGATTAATAAGCTATCGAACCTGAAGCAATGATTGCCAATCTTTTATATTCAGTCTTCCATTCATATTTTCAATAATCTTTGGAATATTTTTTATATGTCTTAGGCATGTAGTAAACTGCCCAGAAATATCCAAATTATCAGGTTGAAGAAAACATTCAATTGTACGATGTCGTTCATCAAGAATAGTAAGGTCAAGGGTAGGTCGGAGAAACCATTGCTTAAGCAAATATTTACCAAGGACCGTACGCGTATTGTTAAGAATACCTATTGCCATAATATTCATTAAAAGAACTTAATTTATTATTATAATAATTATTAAAAGAATCTATCTATCATAATAACCCACCGAAAAGTGACAATCCCTCTTTGGCTTTTGCTTGCATATGCATATTTGGATGTGACTCGTCTTCGAATATTTGAAGAGAACTTAGAAAACGAGATACTATAATTATTATTCGAATATTTATTACTGCGGTATGAAATTTCTTTAGAACACATACATACCTTAACGTATCTGCATTGATATGTAGAAATTTGTTTCTTTATTAATAAATATACGTATGTACATATATAAATAAGTGTTTATCATTCAGTATGACTTTGACACTATAATTTCAACAATTAACAAAAATTTATTTTTACAAAGAAAATTGTTCTATGCTCAATACGCCCACTTGTTGATCTTCAGATAGGATACCGGTTATTTTAGCCCTTGAAATATAGCTAATTAAGGCCCCAGCACAGCATACCTATTTTAAATCCAAAAATGAAAAAAGATGACTTTTACGATAAGAAATATTTAAATATAAATATTATTAACTGTTTCGATGCTCTCCACATTCACAATACTAGATAAATGTAAATATATCTCTTGTTTGTTAGTATCTGCATGTGAGGACACGTGTTTTTGATCACCCAAACGAATGGAAAATAGCTTTGTTTTTGCAGACGCATAAATGAATTCTGAGCCTGGACGTATCTCTACAGTAGATGGAATAGGAATCGAACCATCTACCAACGATTATGCAAATGGTATATTAAAAAGTCATTATTATTTAACTTGATAAATATATATATATTACCTTCCGCCTGTAATGCTTGGATAAATGCATCATCCGCACGAGAACTGACAAGAATTATAGAAGGTGAAACCTGAAAACGCACTATTTTAGAATAAAATGAATGAGACTATATCTATACATAATAGATAAGCAAGCGAACCAACTCACATAAATTCACCATATCATATGGCGGTGATTCAGCCACATCCTCCATGAGATATAACTTAGAAGTAGTGAAATTATAATATGCGCATCCTAATTTACGATTTCTAAGATTTACTGCCATGATGATCTAAACCATTAAAATATGTCGCGTAAAAATGCTTAGCATACACGCAATTTTAAATAGAAGCCCAAATAAGAAAGGATCTACACATGTACCTTCTCGACACGTCCATCTTTTGTATCAGATATATCCTCGCTATCGCTGAATGTCATTCCACGGCTTGAAGTGTCATCATTTTCAAAGGGTGATAAAGTTTCCTGCTGAAATGGAATGCTTATTTGCGACTTAGCCACCCGAGATGGAGTAGATACACGTGAAGCAACCGGTTCACGCGGAGAGACAGAAGCATATGTTAAAGGATCAGACTGAGTTTGTGTTAGAGGTTGCAAAGAATTGACAGATTCTGTAGATCGAGAAGGGTCTAGCGAACAATTTGAGATATGAAAATCAGGCCTTTCAAGAGATAGTATTTCACAGTTTATTTGCTGAATATTATCAAGATCTTCGTTAATTTTTGAATCTTTATTTATCAAATCCATACTTTAAAAAAGGAATAGGTTATAAATAACAATCCGATCGTTTTATACATTAATCAAAGTGAAAACAAAACTAAAAAGGCAGGATCGGAGAAAAAAATTAAAAAGCGGACGAGTTCCGATAATGTATTTATAATCTATTGCCTTATAAATTATATAGAAACCAAATTTTTTATGAGTCTTTTCTTATCTTTAGGGCTAGTATGAATATTTTTATGCATAAAATCCTTATTGATGCATTATCAGCACAATTAGTAATATCAATCGTAGATCTATTTTTTCTATAGTGCTACGTATAGAGGTGCGGGACATTTGTTTCTACGTCATATAAAGATTACGGCTATGACGTATGTTATTTCATGTTCTAATGTCCGCACCTTTAATATTTACTATGTTAATGAAATACTGGAATATGGAAATCGAGTAATTTTTCAATACGATACCATGTTTAGTATCTTTCATTGGCGTTTCTCGTTTTATACATATCAGTTATCTATAATTGTTATAATTGTATATTTCCGTGTATCAGATTTTATTAGTAAGCATTCTACAAAAAGCTTTGTGAAACAATAGATTTTTAATAAAATTCGCGAAATTTAAGCTCATCGATGGATAACGTATTTATCAATTATCAACTCGTATATTCAATATAAAGAAATAAAATGCATTCCAAAGTTGTAATTATTGGTTCTGGTCCTGCTGGGCATACCGCCGCTCTTTATTTGTCTCGAGCAACTCTAGAGCCGGTTATGTTTGAGGGATTCCTTGCGAATGGCTTTGCTCCCGGTGGTCAAGTATGAATTAATGATATTTTATAACATTATTCTAAAGTTTATTTCTATAATTGTATAAGAATTTTCCATTAGGAATACTCTGACGCGTTTTTATTAACTCTTTTTATATTATACAGCTTACTACGACCACTGAAGTGGAAAATTATCCTGGTTTTCCTGATGGAATAATGGGTTCAGAGATGATGGATAAATTTCGACAACAAAGTATTAGGTTTGGCACAAAAATATATACAGAAACTATATCAAAAATTGATACTTCTACACGTCCGTTTAAGCTTTGGCGTGAAAATAAAGAAGATAATGATCCAGATACTGCTGATGCGCTCATTATTGCTACTGGTGCTGCTGCAAAAAGGCTAAATCTTCCTGGTGAAGACCAATATTGGCAGAAAGGTATCTCTGCATGTGCAGTTTGTGATGGTAATTAAATCGTTAATCAGCTCAATGGGTCTACTTCAATAATATCATGCCTTTATTAATTTTATTTTATATTCTTAAAGGTGCTTTACCTATTTTCCGCAAAAAACCTCTTGCGGTAGTCGGTGGTGGTGATTCTGCCGCTGAAGAATCCATGTTTCTTACAAAATATGCGACTCACGTTTATGTATTGGTCCGCAGAGATAAACTTCGTGCATCAAAAGTTATGGCAAATCGTTTACTCAACAATCCAAAAATTACTGTATTATGGAATACCGTTCCTATCGAATGTAAAGGTAATGGGGAACTACTTGATAAATTGGTGACCAAGGATACCAAAACTGGTGAAATTAAGGAACTACCTGTAAATGGTTTATTCTATGCTATTGGTCATGCACCAGCTACCGATTTAGTTAAAGGAAAATTAGATTTAGATGAAGATGGTTATATTCTTACCAAACCAGATAGTACCTGCACGAACATAGAAGGTGTTTTCGCTGCAGGTGATGTAAAAGATAAGAAATATAGGCAGGCTATTACAAGTGCTGGATCTGGATGTATGGCTGCATTGGAATGCGAACGTTGGCTGAGCGAACATTTTGCTGAATAACGGAATTAATTTTATCTTAAATACGTCTTTTTTGTTGTATATCAATCTATATATTCTGTATTTAATTTTTTTGAATGTGAGCTTTTATTATTTAATGGAAGGTTAGAAATAGAATACACTATAGTTTTTATTGAACTAAAAAGATTATAATTTGATATGTTTAAATTGAGTGATTTTTTAATAATATTGTATATTTGATTGAAATACAGTATTTAATAAGATTTAGATTACTCCAAATTAGATAGTATATATAAAAAATTCAAAGTTAATATATCAATAATTAGTGTTTTTTATTTTTGACGTAACATTCATATTTGTCCAGACCTATACCGGTTTCCGGTTCCTAGTACTACTTGGATTCTAAAAAATTATACCATACAGAAAAGAGCCTTTGGGAATGTCAATTGACTGTCTGACATACCGCAGAGTTACCGGTATGGTTCGGCAATATGATAATTTAATATACGTACAGTATTTACAACTGTTTTCATAAATTCTGAGACACCTAAAAAATTTCTCTTTCCCGAAATCTTCTCGATCCCGTCCTAAAACTTACCTAACTTTTCGGAAACTACGTCACTGTTCTCAGAACTTCAATCCAGAGATAGCGACATAGTTTCCGAAAAGTTAGGTAATTCTTAAGACGAGATCGAGAAGATTTCGGAAAGAGATTTTTTCAGGTGTCCCAGAATTTATGAAACACACATTCACTCTTATATTAATACTAAATTATACTGAGAACCAGAAACCGGTATGGGTCCGGAGCATAAAACTTATGTCTCTAAAAGATAATAGCCCTTGGCATGTTGCCGATCAAATATTTCAGGACAAAAATTACGTACCGTTTCTGATACGATCCTCATCGAAGTATCGATCATAATAAAAGTTTTTGGCATAAAATTTAGAGATATATCTTTATTTATTATCTTAAGGATTAATGTTAAGGTAAATTATTAGGTTTACATTGAGATCAACATTATGGATCAATCAAGAATCAAGACTTTGGTAACTAAGCATTTTATGAAAAATTAGCTTCGGGCTCTTTTAAGAACCCTATCAGGTTACGAACGTAAATTGATTTTTTTTTCTATCCCATCAGGAACAGTACCGATGATCCATCAGGAATAGTATTTTTGCATTTCTGCATTTCGGAGGCGTTACATCGGAAAATGACGAAACTAAGTTTTGATGTTTTTATTATAAATGAATCAAAATCATCAAAGGGCATAGAAGTATAAGTCCTTCGCTTCGCTCCGGAAATTAATTCTGTAATATTAATGAAAGAAACGTTACAGCTGTTATCATTATTTCTGGGACACCTGATAATTTTTGCTCGCTACCGAATCATTCTCAGTTTCATCCGATAAATTGCCTAATCTCTCGGAAACTATGCCAGACTGAGGATCCGAAGACAGTGATATAGTTCAGTATAAAAAATTCAAAGTCGAAATTAGGTGCGCTTTGCGCACCTAATTTCAACTTTATGTGCGCTTTGCACTTCTATTAATAGTATTCCAAAAATTGTGAGTTTAGCGCGGAGCGCACATGCGCACATTGAATTTTTTTCACTGATAGTTCCGAGAGATTAGGCAATTTACCGGATGAAACTGAGAATGATTCGGTAGCGAGCAAAATTATCAGGTGTCCCAGAAATAATGATAACAGCTGTAAATTGATGCTTAACTGACCCCTAAGGGCATGCCTTTTTTTATGATTCTGTGTTACAAATCTAAAAATAATTTCGCCACAGAACAATGTGATAAATAAATAAATAATGATAACGCCATTTGTGAAATTGCTTCAACAACCCATGTAATCAAATATGGGTTAATAAAGTACTGTCACACGCACGCGTTTATTTGAAGTTACACGAAAGATAACGTTAATTAAGAAATAATTAGGATCGAATTCTATGATGCAACAGGATCACCTACTTTTTTGGCTTATACGCTCAAGAGTTCAAAGTTCCTACAAATATATTCGGACGACAATGTACAACAAAGTACAAACACGAACATATTCTGCTGCTTCAAAGCAAGGACTCCCTAATTCTACAATACCTATTTCTTTAATTGACCTTTTGGACAGGTCAGAAATACCAAAGGTCAGATTGAACCCACCCGTGTATCAAATCTCTAATAAATATTATGGTAAATATCTATGCATATTAAAAATATAATGTTTCATATGGCCTGAAAGCTTTCAAATTTGGGCTAATATACGCGTATGTACATATAGCTAGTCGTTGCTTTGACATTTTGGACCAATACTCTTCATGGCATTCAGGTTATGTTGGTTTTGATACTGAAACTACAGTTCGTAGGCAACAAAACCATGGATTAGTTTCAATGATACAAATTGCAACACGTGACTTATGCTTTTTATTTCAAGTGTACCGTATTACGCAAGGGAATTGTAAAGAGTTTCCACCAATACTCAGCCAATTTTTAAGTAATCCGAATATTTTAAAAGTTGGAGTCAATGCGACTCATGACGCAGAATGGTTAAAGAAATCATATGATATTCAATGCCAAGGGATTGTTAATCTAGAGAATATTGCTAAAAGAAAAGGATATTCAGCAGGATCATTGTCAGAGTTAACATTAATGTTTGGAGATCCGGGACTTGTTTTGGAAAAAAATAAAAAAAAGATACTGAAATGGAATTTTGATGCGGCAACATTAGATCCTGAATTAATATTATATGCATCTGCTGACGCATTTGCGGGAATTCAAGTGTATGAGAATATTCTTGAAGATAGGATGAATCCTGATTATTTAAATTATGAAAGCATGAATCCGATGTCCAGGGAGGAGGAAGAAGAAGAGATTTATGAATTACTTTTAAGTTCTTATCCAAAAGGCAAAGTAGGTCATCATTATTTTTTCAAACAGCTTGACCATAATTTTACATGAATTATATTTATTCCAACTTATTTATAATCAATATCGAAACAGGCTCATAAACTGAACGTTTTTATCAACTTACTTGAAAGTAAGTATGGTCGTTGGATTAAGACCAAACCAAAAAAACTTGATCGGCACAACGAAGTGAACAAAACAATTGAAAAATTTATTGAAGATGGACGTCTTATCGTTGTTGAGGAAGAAAAGCAAATAGATTACGTTGATGAACAAAATGAATCCGCCAACGGGATTCAAAGTTCTGAATCTGTAAGCGCCACTATCGACAAAATTGATACGTTGGTTAAACTTCCTGGTATATCGATTGAAACTATTGTATCAAGTTCTTATGCAGATCAATTTTTCATTTCAAAAGGTCTTGATTCAGATGATTGCATATTTTTTAAAGAAATTTCGTCACATATATTGAAAGCCACAAAAAAAGAATCGTTAGTGCATATATATATTAATAATGGAAAAAAACAATCTTTGGCTAAGGACGATCAACTTATTAAAGAAAGGCTCGATATTTTGAGCCTAAAAGGTGCTTTAATACCAGGTAAAAAGTGGAATACACTTATGTTCCACCCTGATTGGCTAAAAGAATTGGAAGTGGGTTACGAAGAATTCATAACTGCGCAAAAACAAGTTATTAAAGATGTGAAGGACGAGATTTTGATTAATAGTAATGATAAAACGAAAAATGAATAGTGTAACCGATACGTAAAATTTATGCAATTTTGATGATGATTTTAACAGCTAATGAAATTTGTTAATAATATGTGCGTAATGTTATCTCATTAAGTTTATTTATTGTGATTACTAAAGTATCTGCACTTTATCATATAGAAAAGCCCAATTTCTTGACAACCTTATTGACATTGAGTTGATGCACTTGGACTTGGATCAGTGATACCTAATCTCAATTGGTTGAAAGCAAGCCACTTGAAACAGATGCAAATAACTTTATAGAAATTATACGAAAGAAAGCAAAGCTGCATATAGGCTTCTGGTCATTAAAATACAGTTAACTCGTTAACATTATTAATTCACCAAGCCTATTATTTAACATATTAATATGTTAATAATATAATTTTTACCTATCGAATGACACTGGTTTTGACTAGCTAGCAAAATCTAAACAAATTTCAACCCCCCAAAAAAACAATTGGTTTATAAAAAATTGGATCAAATAAATATTTTTTAATAAAATTTTTGAAAGACTTTAGCGCAAACAACATATTATAATAGTTTGGCAATATTGGTCAGCAAGTATAATTTTGCCAGGGTTAACGTTATTCCGATGGTACTTGATCTAAAATAATCAATAATTTTTTGATGTTTCATTTGAGAACATGATAAGTTATTAAATTTGATTTTTGATGATTGCAAACATACCTTATACATGTTACTCTCATTATAGTAAACTCTTGATAGTAAATATTTGATACAATAAAGAATTTTAAATTACAGTGATTAAACTTTAACGCGATATAGCGCTAGTAAAATATACATAGTATTCTCTCGATGTAAGCTTAAGATTTTTTTCTCGCCCGACGACTTTACTATAATAACAGGAGTTACTTGTATATTTTATAAAATCAACTTTATAACTCGAGTTAAAATATCACTTTAATAATTCATGACTGGATATGTTTAATTTATTAAAATAAAAATTGCAAAAAATATATACAATGAAAAACAAACATGTTAAATAATAAAGATACATTATGGCGCTATTCTATAACCACTAAAATGAATATACACTAATCAATCAAAGTATTCAACTTAATTTCAACTTATAATAAATATATTAATATCTGCCACGTGGACGCTCTTGTGGCCGGGAAAGAAGCCTTGAAGATAGTCCTATAGGACGCTGTAAATATTTATAACAGTATTAATATTTTGCGTTTATATTTTATTTTAATAATTTCCTCTATTATTTATAGTCGTAACTTACTCGTGAAATATTATTATTCATGTGGCCTCGTCCATATGGTCCCTGTCGATCAAAATAGGGTGGAGGTCGGTAATCATTCCTGTGATAATAATGATGATATTGATCTTCTCTTCCCCGACCCTTTTGAAATTCGATAATATATATTAGTCATAAAAAGACACAAAGGAAATGATTCAACAAAGAACGAATAATCTTACTAACCATCATGCCATTCCCAGTCATTCCACTTGGTCCTGTTGGTGGTGGACCATAAATACTATTGTTAGGGGCGTGGTTCATAGGATCATAATAAAACCCGTTAGACATATGTCGAAATCTCTTATGTATTGGACCTAAAGGTGCATTTTGTTGTTCATTATGACGTTTTATCACAGGTGGTAATTGTTGATGAAAAGCTGTAGTATCATCATCTTGTCTGTTAATTAAAGAACCGTTTGGATCTAATCGTTCATGATTTAAAAAACGCCCTGGATCATTCCGTTCATGACTGGGAAAACGACATAAATCGTTTCGTTCACTGTTCTCATAGAGGAATGTTTCATATCGATCATCAGGATAAGACCTTGTATCATAACGATCGTCGAAAAAGAGCCTTGAATCACGTTCATAATTTGAATAAAGAAATGATTCAAAACGATCACTGACTGGAAAAAACTTCCTGTCTACTCGGTCATGAGGAAAAGATCCAAATTCATTTCTCTCATGGTTTGAAAAAGCTGTTGACTCATTTCGTGATCGGTTTGATTCAGGTCGCTCATAGTATGGTACAGGATTTGAGCCTTTTGATTCATTATTCGTAAAAGTTGAATTCGATTCGATCGGTTCATCTGTATTATGATATGAGCTTATTAGGTTTTCGTTTTGTCGTATTAAAATTGTTGATCTTGATTCATCTAAAAATAAAAATATAATTTGTGTGAAGAAAAATTCCAAATCAATTTGACAATGATAACGTACCCTCTGACTGTACTTTTATGGATGTATCATTGGTTTCAGCCTTCGGTGTTGAATTATTCCTAGATTAAAGAAAATGTATATAAAACTCGGTTTAGAAAAATACTAAAATAATAATTTATAGAGTTCACATTCACGTAAATTTGTAGATTAACAAATTTGCTTTAACATGAAAATAATTTACAATTAAATTCATTCTTGCATTTTCTATGTAAAAAATTTCATAAAATTAATCATTAAATTAAATACATACGCTGAGACATCGACAGATATTCCATTTTCACCTCTCGGTTCAGGAGTAGATGAGCTTTCGGATTGCTCACGTAAACGTGTCCATACGTCCTTCTTCCACTTAGCTAACTCTTCAATTTTTGCTTGTATAAAGTTCAGAGCAGTTAAGTCGTCTTCGCTTTCTTCGCAATTACTTTCATTCTCACTATTACATCTCACTCCTAAATTTTTCTTGACTTTACTATTATTGTTTTCACCATTTTCTCTCTCAATATTTTTGTTATATTTACTTATACTACTTGAACATATTTCGTTGTTATTTTCTGGTAGTTCGGGAGATGGTTCTTGATTTTGTGGTGTTATATATGATGATTGATCTTGCGGTAATGTGAAAGGTGGTGATAATAATTCACTGGACGAAATATCATTAATATTGTTAGTTTCATAATTGTCATAATAAGAAACTTTGTCTGAGTCACTGTAAGTTGTGTCTTTATCAGAACCATTAAATTTTGTTTCTTGATTTTTTTCTGTCTCGTTGAACGTAGAACTTTGACCATTTTCTGAGCAATTAGAATCGCTCTGAATATTTTCCGAAGCATCAACAAAAGAATTTTGATAATTATCCAAGCTATCTAAGCTATCCAAGCTTGAATCATGACCTGACGACAATTCACTTAAGGTAGAGGTTGTCTCATCATCACTAAAGAAACCTCCCTTCGACATACGGTTTATTCCATTAACTATTATTGGCGTTGCTTCTATAGTATTTATGTTACCACGCTCTTCAATCTCACTATGATTCTCAGCAATATCAGATGAATAACCAGTATATTCTCGCTCTCTTTGTGAAAATAACCTGCGCACCATCGCACTCCGTAAATTGTTTTCTAATCGTGGTAGGTCAGGGTAGACCACACCGGTGGGTCTTTGAATATCTGCCATTACCTTTATATAAATAAATATGTTAATAGAATAACCTATCTAGACTTGTCCGATTCGAAAAAAGATAATTTCATACCCCTCTTTAGTTTCCAATGTTTGTGAAGTCGTTACTACGACAATAAACATGGCCGTTTTAAAAAAATGTTTTGAAAATAAGCTATGGCTGTTTAAACTGTCCATGTCAGATGATATAAATCATAAATTTATTTTATATAGCAGGATATATGACTATGTATGATATTATGTGGCAATTTCTAATAGAAGTTCGTATTACAATGTTCAGCACCCCATACTTTTATGTGATCTCGCGGCGTTAATATTTCCTTATTGGTGCATATTATAATTACATGTTATAGTTATTGTGAGTCGTGCGATATTTATTTATCACAGGTGCTGATCTCCCCTGTCTCTAATACAAGCATTATTTTGAAAACGAGAACCGTTGTAAGTCCGGAGCATCACATGGTTTCAGATTAACTGTTATCAAAATTGATACGTAGATTTACGATGTACTCAAAATTTGATTACGTTCTTGATGCATTTTTAGTAAAATATTTTTGAACTTTGAGCGAAGATATCTCAATAACTACTTGACCAAATTCGATGATTTTTTTTTTTTTTTTTTTTAACTCTATGGATATATGGAATTCAAATAAAAAAAAAATTCATCGATTTTCGCTCAAAGTTAGTAAACAAATTCAAAACGTCTATTAAAATAAATGCGCCAAATTTTTTCTAAAACTTTGAACGAAGATATCTCGACCAAATTCGATGAATTTTTTTTTTTTGATTTAATTCTACAAATATTTCATCGATTTTGATCAGGCGGTTATTGAGATATTCTCGCTCAAAGTTTCATAAATTTGGCACGAATTGATATTTTGAATTTGTTTACTAACTTTGAGCGAATATATCTCAACAACCGCCCGATCAAAATCGATGAATTTTTTTTTTATTAGAATTCCATATATCCATAGAATTAAAAAAAAAAAAAAAAAAAATTCATAGATCTATCGAAAAATCTGATTGGTTGATCAATAAATTACGATTATTAAAAATAATGCAAGACTGTAATATTATATGATCACAAATATTTGTAATCGAATTCTTTAGTATTTAGCAAATTGCAATAAAATAAGCTTGTATTTTAAAATTATTTTTTTTATATAAAAATAATAGAATATTGCTAATTTTTATTTTAGATAATAATAATATATCTAGTATAGTTTAAGAAACTCTATTTTTAAGAGCAATTCGTAGCCAGGTTAGTATATATTTTATATAACTCAAATAAAAATCTGAGTAGAATTGCAAAAGTTTTTTTTGAATCAAAAGAGGATAAAGCAAAAGTATTAAGCAGATGTATTAATTATAGTAATAAGGTTTTATTAAAAAGAAAATATATTATAATAACAAGAAATTTATAAAGAAAACTTTATGAAAGTTAGAAAGAAGAAGCTATTCTATAAAGATAAAGAAAATAGTAAAATCAGTAGAAAGAGTTATATACAACTAGAAAATAAAAGAAAAAAGAAGTATAAAGACTGAAAAGAAAAAAGCAAAAAAGTTAGCAAAAAATAAATACAAAAAAAAAATAAGATTATTAGTTATATATAGATTATTTTAGAAAATAAAAAAGCTTAAGAAGTTTAAGATGAAGTATTGAATATTCAAAAAAAAGAAGATTAACAGAAAATCTAAGTAGATCATTCATATATTTAGTTTAATTAATAGAAAAATTAAAAAGTAAACTAAGTAGTCTAGAGTTTATAGTTCTGAACTACTTTAATTTTTAGCCAAAAGCTAATTACAAAAAGCTTTAAATAAACAAAAAGAAAACTTAAAGATTTAAACAGAACAACAAACAAAAATCAAGTTATAAATACAAGAATAATATTTAAAAGAAAAGATTAAAGATTAAAAGATAAACAAATATCATTCACTCTTTCTGACGATCACTAGAACTGAAATGGAGTAAATAGAAAAATACTACAAAGAATAACTACAACTACCTAGCAGGAAAAAAATATTGAACAGCATGAGGGATAATGTCCTGAACTAGGCAGAGTATAGTTTTTGAACTATTACTGCTAGTTTTGTAAGAGGCTTACTGGAGCTTTGCTACTGACCTTAGCAGGTCTTAGTTTTTTCTTAGCCTACAGAATAACTTGTAGAGATATTGCAGATAAACTCACTAAACTACTTGAACTAGGTCAAGTAGCAATACATTCCCTCTTCTGGCTTATAAAATTTGGTTCTACTTGGATAAACTCTCTATACCAAAATTCTATGGTTTTTCTTTTTTTCCCTTTTTTCTGTTTTTCTTTTTTGAAAAATAGGGAATTAGATTTCCCTCTGTAAACGACGATCTTTGTTTATCTTTACTATTTTTGGATTATCACAGAGAAAGCAACTACATGACAAATCAGTCTGTTTGGATATTGTTGTACTATATATAAGTAACCACGTGCATCTAGTCTCTAGAAAATATGGCTAAAGTACAGAACAGATTAATCAAAAAATGGAGTTTAGTTAGAAATTATATGAGATATGCTTATATTGCTATAATATAATATTTTTGTTTCTAGTCCAAGCTAAAGGGCAACCCTTTTTTTTCATTTTTTTTTTTTCTTTCTATCTTCTTTTTATTACTTCTACGTTAGTATTTTTTCCTATGGCAGGTTTTTACTTATGTAGATAATAGTTATAGATTGTTACTACTTAAATCTATGCAATTTTTATTTTTAGTTCTTATTGTTATAGTTAGGTTTCTCTTTATTTTTTCTTTAAGGTA